AAATCGCTGTCGTAAATGATTGTGTTTAATGTGCTGCCTTTACGGCTCACAGCCAAGCAATATTCTTTGATATGTCTTTGGCTTCGCAGTAACACACCGGCTTAAGGTATTCTGGATACTAACAAAAGCTAAGCTTGCTTCGTATGATGAGAACAGTAGGCGAAATTGGATAAGTCTACAAGTAACCTTGGAGTAATCATTCTGATTCATTGAGTCCGAAGGATTACTCCAAGAAATAACGCAAGAACTGAGTGAATTTAGTGAAGAGTGAGTGCACCCATGTGTGCGAGCGATGCTCTCAACTATCACGAGACTGATCCGGCAAACTCACAAGTAGTTATGCCACCATAAAAATCGAGAATGTCTAAACATTCGAAGTGAAGTGTCCCGTAAATGTGCTTATACGATAGTCATAACCTTGAAACCGGATTCATGGTATTGATTCCTGCTCTCTCTCCCCCTCACTCTCTCTCCCTCTCTCTGTTGTTGTCTAGGTCGGCGGCGACGATCAATTCGCCATGCTCTACGATAATAACTTCCTGTACGATAACTCCATGCCGACGCCGAATATCGAGCCGCCGACGTGGCCCTACACGCTCGAATACCGCTCGACGCAGCCTTGCGTCGTGCCGCCCTGCCCGACGCAGTCGTTCCCGGGCGTGTGGGAGGTGCCGCTAGTCGACTGGCTGGACACCAACGACACGCTGTGCGCCACAGTCGACAACTGCTTCATGCCGCGAGATGGCGCTGAGAGTCTCGATCTGCTGCGCTCCAACTTCGCGCGTCATTACCATGGCAACCGCGCTCCGTTCCCGCTGCACCTGCGCGCGCGCTGGTTCATCGAGGGCCACTACAACATCGAAGCGTTGGAGACGTTCCTCGACGAACTGGCGACGATGAGCGACGTCTACGTCGTGACGATGAGCGCTGCCGTCGCCTGGGTTCGTCAGCCGACGCCCCTGCGCAGGCTCGCCGCAAGTCGTCTGCTTAGCTGCGATCAGAGAAGCGAGCCGACATGCCGCCGACCAATCACGTGCGCGTACTACAACGTGACGCACGCTCCAAACAGCGTCGATCACCCAGGCGACCGATACATGGAGACATGTGCTACCATCTGTCCGCCACGCTACCCGTGGGTGGGAAACCCGCTCGGCGCGCGCCAGTGAGAGTGCGTCATTAACGTGTTACAATTACTGTTAATTACCGATTAATTATTTATATAATAATGTTAGTATTTATGATATTGGGGTATTTATATTAATATCTTATCTTAGGTATAGTTGCCTACAATATATAGTATTGTCTGTATCGCATTTTCCTTGATGACGTGTGTATTTGCGTCGTGTATGAGTATTCCAGTACGGCATCTGACGTAGGTGTTTACGTAAACTGTATGTTCTGTTGGCATGTTGGTTCTAAATTCATTATTTCTGTGGCTCTGGTTGGATTCCTGTTTCATTGATAGCTTGATACATTATAACTTGTATTACGTGAAGGTCTATTCTGTCTAGCGCTAATTTAATTATATGAATATGATATTTAGCTGTAATAAATTTCCAAAACTATTCATGGTAATTACACTGAGTACAGGTTTTCTCGTCCATTGATCGCACACACACATACACACCCACGCACGCACACGCACGCACCGGCGCACTACAGACAGTTACAACACGGTACAGGTCCCTCGCGCGTCGAACAACTGCAACACACACACCACCAGCGCACAACCCACACACACACCACACCACACACACACACATACACATAATCACCCACAGCCGCAAACGCACAACGCAATACACCGCACACCACCACACCACAACCCCACCACACACATGCACGCACGCACACGCACACACACACGCACGTACACATACCCGTGCACTCTCAGTACGCTCCTATTTCGCGTCAGCAGCGCATGACACAAGCGCGCGCATAATGAGCAACATTTACGCTCAAGGGTATACTCAAGACTCAAGCACATAACCCTAACCCTAAACATACCTCATATAAAAATATAAACATAATACTAAACAACCTAAAACTACCGCGCGGGTACATATCTGTAGTACCTGATACGACAACGACCCCATCTGCTACATTTACCTGTGAACTGCCGTGTTTAACTGATCTCAATATCAACTTACAGCATCGACACTCGATCACTGATACTTTGGACCATAAATCTGTCAACCCATCGTCAATGATATCCAATTATCAGCTTAAACATGTTGTGGCAGTGCCATCCGATAGCACTATCGGGTACGTGTGTGCGAGCTCCTCCGCTCTAAAGTAAACTTTGCGTGTTTTAGAGGTTAGCATTAGGGGGGAGCCGGCTACCGTGGGTCGCCTAAGAGACGTGCAGATCGTAGCCGGATAACGTGAGATACGATATCTGCACCGCGTGCGCCGTGCCCGTGGAATGTATCTCGATCTTGCTGCATGCCTTACCTACACACTCACTGTTCCGCTCGCACCCGCGCACTCTCTCACCGGACGTCTCTCGCTTGTAGTGTCCATCTTACCACCGCTCTCGCGACGTCTTTTACTCGATCTATTTCGACGTGTATAAGTTCGACGAAAGTATCCCGACGAATACTCTAGCGGATCTAGCACGCCTATATTACGGGATACAGAGAAAGGATAATCTTACATCAAGCCAGTATATCAGTGAGGCGTAAACAACAGACGAACGTATGCGTCAGGTGTGACACGCACACACGCACGTACATACGTATATACGTACACATAGCCAAAATGGCGCGGTGGACAGTGCCGATATTCTTCTTCTCACTCGTGCTACTCGCTGCCATGACGCAAGCTCAGCCATCAGACAAGTTGGAAGAAGATGCCGGCCGTGGCCCAAGTCTCCTAGATGAAGTCTACCTCGATTACATCGATGAGGAGATGAAGATGGAGTCAGCAGATGTAGGTGCAGGTGTCACCGACGATGCAGAAGAAGGAAAAGTGGAAAGAGGAGGAAAAGCTGAAGACGGTGGAGGAAAAATGGAGCTAGGAGGAGGAGCTATAGAACTAGCAGGAGAAGCAGGAGAAGAAGAAGAAGGTGGATTAGATATAGATGGCGGAGAAGAAACTCTGGGCAACGGAGACAGCGACCAGACCAGCGATGACGAATTCTGGGATAGCTTATGGGAAACAGATTCCGAGACGACTTCCGAACCGGATGCCAAACCCAAACCGGAACCGAAACCGGATTTCGAACCCGAACCGAAGCCGAAGCCGGAACCGAGACGCGAACCGGAAGCCACACCGGGAAACAGCAGAAGCGCTGCCGCACCCGGCAGTGATGACGATGGTGATGACGATGACTACGACATTAACGGCCCGTTCGAACCTCTCATCGGGGACGGAAACTCCGGCAGCGGCATGCCGGAAGACGACGACGACGACGACGACGACGACGACGACGACGACGATGACGATGACGACGGCTTCGTCGACCGCGACGGTGACGGTATCGACGACGGATTGGACTGGCTCGACGACGTGTTTGAAGGCGACGGCGACGACGACGACTTCTCGGACGTATGGTCGGGGCTGATGGGAGGCGGTGCCGACGCCAACAAGGGCGTCACCGGAATCGACTTCGGGGTGATGCTGCCGCAGCTGATCGCACAGAAGATGGATGCGGATGGTGGAGGCAACCCGCTGGAGAGGCTGATGCCGGCATCTTCGAAGAAGCCACCTCCCGTCTTCCAACGCATCATAGAGCAGCTGATATACGACATGCGGCATCTAAAGCCAAACGCAGCGTTCGCCAACCGCACATTCAACCTGATCTTCGTGCCGCCCTATATGCCGCTGCTCATCGAGGGCCGCACTGTACCCGTACGATACTTCTACAACAACAGCAAGAATCTAGCTCCAGCAACGCTCACGTTCTGGTCGGACGACGACGTGAAGGCGGTCGTCGACGGCAACGACACGTTCGTCGCCAAGAACATTCGCTCGCCGACGTTCTTCCCCGGTAACTCGTCGTTCGCGCTCACCGGTCGCTTCCTCGGCATGACGACGCTGCATGCGAACATGACGCAGTGCGACGGTGGCGCCGCCGAGCGGGTGTGCCGCACGGAGACGGTGCGCGATGTTTATAACGTGACGGTGATGCGGATGCCGCGACCCATCGATACGGCCTTCGTGCAGGTCATCTGGTGCATGATCGTCATTAGCTCAGCTGGCTTCGGCTGCGCCATCGAGCTGCCAATCATCTGGAGCATCCTGAAGCGCCCCCTAGCGCCAGCCGTCGGCTTCTGCTGCCAGTTCATCTGCATGCCACTGGTAAGTGGCGCCGCCGCCTCGCGGAGATACGGAGGGATGGAGATCTATACGCGTGAATTTGTGCCGTTCCAGCGCAGAGTTTTCAACGTGGCTGTGCGTCTATTGCCATCTCTTCGTCGAGTTCTTCTCATAGGCTTCGACTGCTTCTATTTATAGATCGCGTACTGCTTGACGAGGATGGATTTCTGGGGTCTCGATCCTAGTCTCTCTATGGGACTGTTCACGAACGGATGCAGCCCGGGAGGGGGCGCCAGCAACTACTGGACGCTGCTGTTCGATGGTCATGTGAACCTCAGCATCACTATGACGTTCATCAGCTCCATCTCGGCTCTCGGTATTTGAAGAGCTTAATTGATTATTTTTTATTTATTAGCTTATTTTTTATTTATTTTTTATTTTATTTTATTTTATTTTATTTTATTTTATTTATTTTATTTTATTTTATTTTATTTTTATTTTATTTTATTTTATTTATGAGCTTATTTTTTATTTATTTTTTATTTTATTTCATAGGGTCTGATGATAACCAGTAGTAATACCTCCTCCCCCCTTTCTCGCCTTCTATTTCTTTTTCTTATTCTTCTTCCGCTCTTCGTGGAGAGAGAGAAGAGAGTGCCTGCATCCCTGTAACGTGAATTCTGCACTGCGCGTATATGCGAATTATTTGGCTTATATGAAAGCAAAATTTTTATTATTTAAATAATAAAGATTACAGGCTATATATGAAGAGATTATTTGCAAAACTGCCTATGAAAGAGAACAATTATTAACAATATTGAAACAATTATTTGACAATCATTTACAATGTTTTCAGCATTGGTTAAAATGTGCTGATAGATATAGACTAACTAAATGTTTTTGGATGTAAAGCTAAAGTCACACCAAGCTCCCGGACCGGGCCGGACGCTGCCGGACTGATCCGGGGAGAGATCCTTGTTGGGGTCCGGGACGGTCCTGACGCGTCCGGCCCGTCCGGTGGTCCTTGATGTCCGGCCATTCCGGATATCGCCCGGATGTTTTAAACTGTTTAAAATTGCCGGGGTGATCCGGACGGTCCGGAAGTTTTCACCATCCGGGGTGGTCCTGGACGGTCCGTGGCGCGTCCGTGGTAGCGTCCGGGACAGTCCGTGGTAGTCCGGAAACAGTCCGTAGTGGCACCGTGTTGACCGGGCCCATCCGTGCCATCCGGTCGTTTTTCGGCCACGGATCACTACGGATCAAGCCGGACCCAACACGGATGGGAGCGACGGATGCCAGACGGGCCGGACCAGGCCGGATCAGGTCCGTGGCGGTCCGAGGCAGTCCGGGCGGTCCGGGGCGGTCCGTAGTGATTCCGTGCTGGGGCCGGCTCATCCGGGCTCAATCCGAGGATGATCCGTGGCGTCTGCGTCTGGTCCGGCCCGATCCGGCCGATGATGCTTGTTTTCACCACCGGATCGCACGGAATTATAGAATTTACGGTCCCGGGGAGATCCTGCCCCATCGCGGTAATCCGTGACAGTCCCGGCCACGCAGTGTGAGGTTTAGCTTAAGCTAAACAGTGATTTTATGATAGGGCCCTTTTAAGCAGATGTAGGCTGTTTTCAAGAAAAAAAGTACTCTTAACAGTACCTATGTTCGTCATACATATACCATAGTAGTTTGGCAAATAAGCTTTTCAATTTATTTTTTAGTAACTTTCGTCCAGGACACGCAGGCCATTAAGCGTTTCTGTCCTACAGTGTTGTCGCTCGACACCGTGTGGCTGCTCCACTTAATATCTCTTGATATCGGGCACATGCGATAATCACGCTGCGTGTAAGCATGCAAACCATAACTTGCGCGCAGCATTTATGTTTAGCTGTCGCGTTCCAATGATGAGTAGATGTAGTTGTTCATGTATCATTCTAAGTTCCACGCATTGCGCATGGTTCCATGCTGCGTGCAAGGATGATGCGCTATCGTTGTTGCATTATTATTCTAATGTTCCGCACTATGGTTTTGTTGCATGTCGCTGCAGGATCTGTCATGTAGTTGTTCATATTCTCGTAATGTGCCGCATATGGTATGTTCCAGGGCAGCGTGGCAAGATGATGCCGCTATGGTTGTTGCATATTAATGTCTAATGTGTCGGCACGTTCTAATGTTCCATGAACAGCGATGATGGCACTTGTGGTTGTTCACTTGCTCGTAAGACGTTCCCAAGACGAGGCAGATATCGAACATACTTACCAGAAGCTCGTCCATCAAGCTCGCTAATTCGTAGTCGCCACTCGGCTTCGGCAACACTCAACACTTCTTCAG